GAATGAGAGTGGCCGTGTTCCAATAAAACCTTATTTACGGGCACAAGAATTTGAATTTCGTATAAATTCACATGTCATCCGTATTCTTCTTCATCTGATTTTTTAAATTATTAAAAAATGTAAAAACTACTCTTAGTTCACAAGCTGGATTTGGCCCACGGGCCATAGCTGGCCTGCCCCTGGTCTATGTGTTAGAGATGCAGGTACTGACCTATCCCTCTACCCTCCCCCCAATAGGAGTCCGTGGTGCAGATGGAGCCTCCCGGAGCCGGGTAGGCGGGGGGCTCCTTCACGGCCCTCATGCTACTTTGCCCCTACCAAGGTCTGTGAGGACATCTTAAAAGCCGCTCTTGCACCCTGGGGAGGGGTGGGCAGTGGCATCTCAGTTCCAAGCCCTGGCATTTAAAGCTCTAATTCCTCTAGGCTAAATCTCAAAGACTACCGAGACCCAGTACGTGTGCCTAACAACAGTTGGTGATCCAGCGATCCAGCGTGCTGGGGGAGGTCTGACCTGGCGTTGGAGTGGAATGCAGGCAGAAAGCCTTGCTTCTCCTGATTTAGAGGTTATGTGGGTTGGGTTTGAAGCATGGCAAACATTTGTTTCTTTCTGAGGGGAAAAGCCACAGCAGACTAAAGGACTGACGGGGGAGGGGTTCCTGGACCAGAAGCAATCCCCATCTGGGTGTCTGGGGCAGCCTCTCTGGAAGGTGCTCCTGGCCAGCAAGGTTCACCTGGGGAAATGGCCTCTGCTGGCCCAGACCCTCTGGACCTCACACTCAGCCTGCCCCCACCTCCCAGCCTCTCCTCTTCACCCTGCCCGATGACTGTCCCTCACCCCTCATGACTTTCCAGTATGACGCATTTGTCATAAAAGCCCCTTCAGGGCACCAGGAGGGCCCCAATTTCTCCCTCCATCAAATCCAAATCCTTCTGCTTAGTTGCTAAGGATCCCTCCCGCACTCAGACCCCGGAATGACCCTCTCCCAACCCGCACAGGGGACCTACTGTGACTTCCCCATCTTGTACCATCCTTTGCACACCTGTATATGCCCTGCATCCCAGAAGCCCCCACTCCCGCCCACTGTCACATCTGGCCACGTCCAGCCTTGACCTTGGTGTAAAGAGACCTTGGGGGCGCCTGGCGGGCTCAGTCAGTAGAGCACGCAATTCTTGATATCAGAGTAGTAAGTTTGAGCCCCATGTTGGGGGTAGAGCTTGCTTAAGAAACAAGAGAGAGAGAGACCTTGCAGTGAGGTCACAGAGGAGCTATTTAATTGTGCCTTAGTTTCCTTATCTGTAAAATGGGTGACATAAGAGCACTAACGTCATGGCATTGCCAAGGCTTAATTAGAACCTGCACATCAAGCATTTCCCTGAGTGGTGTCAGAGGTGCCCCCGTGTTTTCCAGAAATGGGAGCAGCAAACCCTGTCTGACTCCAGATTACATTCCCCTCTTCCCTCTTTAAATCTTTCAACTTACCATTTGAATTACACAATACCATGAACTGTTCCTGGGTAAGGCGTCTCATCGCCCCATTTAGGCTACAAACCTATAAACCTTCTGTACCACACGCCTTACACAGTTCCTTGGCTCCCACGGAGCCCCTGGCACTCCACAGCCCTGAGTCTGGACACCATTTTCTTTTCAGTAATCGACTGAAACTGCCACACACTGCTGAGCCCTTTCTTTCTTTTGTGAGGGACTTCGGGGGGAAGGCTGAAGACAAGTTATCTTTCCAATACAGCGCTCTCTTTGGGGGGCCAGCAAAGAATCTGATCGCTAAAGAGCTGGCCTGGAGACGCTCAACAGCATCATATATTTAAGTTCCAAAAAAGAAAGGGCTTTGGTTAAAATGAATCTCCAAGCGGCAGCTGAGTTCTTTTTTTGCTGTTGTTGTTAAGATTTTAATTTATTTGTCAGAGAGTGAGCACAAGCAGGGGCAGTGGGAGAGGGAGAGAGAGAAGCAGACTCCCCCATGAGCAGGGAGCCCGATGCGGGGCTCGATCCCAGGACCCCGGGATCATGACCTGAGCCGAAGGCAGACGCTTAACTGACTGAGCCACCCAGACGTCCCCAGCAGCTGAGCTGTAAGTGGACGGGAGAGTGCCATCTGGGTGGGAGTTGGCCTCCACCAAATCCTGACTGTCGCCCGAGGCAGAGGCCTTCCAGGAAGGCCCCAGAAGTCCACATGTGGCAGGCCCTGCCGGCTGTTTCCATGAGCTTCAAGAATCCAGGCTCCCCACCCAGAGCCCTCAAGGTGTGGCCAAAGGTTAATGGGCTCCTAAGGGAGGGCCACAGGGCCCATCAGACCAGCCAGATACCAGATATAAAGACCGGTCCAATCAGCCAGATACCAGAAGACAAGGAGAGACTGACTCCGCCAGTCCCACTCAGACCGCGACCGCGCTGCTGTGAGTAGCCATAGAAGGGGGGGCGGTTCCCACATGTGCCCCAGGGCAGAACAGTGGTGTGAGCAGGGCCAGCCCAGTCCAGAGATCTCCCCTGTGTCCCCCCTGCCGCCTTCCAATACTTCCCTAGGCTTCGGACTGAAAGCACTGAGCTGATTTCCAGAGTAGCGGGTTAAAGCCACACACAGTGTGAGCAAAAGCAGGATTGCCCCGAGGCACGGAAGCTGGAGGGAGGAGAGGGTGGGTACAATTCCTGGCAAAAGAGAGGCTGTCTGGGGTGCGTGGTGCCACTGACTGCAGGCCAGAAACCCAAGCCAGAGCTCAGCATGGACACAGGACCCCACGTGGCACGGAGGCTTCGCTCTGGAAAGTTAAGGGTAAAGCTGGTCCCTAGGGACATTGTGTGACGAGGCCAGACTCACCAGGGCCGGGGCTACTGTGGGAGGGCAGGGAGGAGATAGGCGCCCCCTCATCCAGAGCTGATGGCTTGAAGGCTGGAGCGCCATCCCTGGAGATGGAAAAGGGAAGTCAGTATCTCATCACACAGTGAAAAGCTCTCCCACTCTGAGCTCCCAGGAACACAAATGAATGTAGGTGACATGCCAACTGCCAGTTGGATCAAGAAAATGAGCAGCAATTGGATTTTGCCTTTTCTTATTTAAAGTTTTTATTGATTCTTATGGAGGGAATTAAATGAGAACACCAGAATGAAAAGGGCTCTGTAGCATCTCCGTGAAGGAAATGTGACACATCCATCTCCACTGGGAGGGAAGTTGGGGCCCCACAGACTCCATAGGGAAAGGATAGGAACAGAGAGGGAGAGTAATGATTGGGAGCCCTCCATCCCCACCCATCCTCTGGTCCGCTCCAGGTCCTCCCGGGGTCCCGGACAGGGTCTCAGCTCCCCCAGAGGTGGCCTTCAGTGGGTGGGCGGTCTTCTGACCCTACTAGGAACTTGCTGGCACGTAGCTGGCATGGGAGACTTTGGCTGTGTGGGCTCTCACATTCTTTCTCATGGAGTGTTAGCCAGATGGAGAGAGAAAGTGGGATGGGGACAGGAAGACCAAAAGAGGCAGAGGGAGTGTCCAGCTTAGTAGAGGTGGCTTCAGATGACTGAGGAGAAGGGTCCTGGAGGAGAGGCAGGACGCAAGCCCACAGCCTTGAACAATTCGCTCCAGAGGGGTAGTTGGGGTGGGACCTGCCGAGAAGCTTGGAGGCCAGTCCAGGGCAGGACCCTCTCCTGCCAACAGAATCCAGGCTGCCCTAGGGCCGTGGGAGCCCCGAGCTGACTCCCTGAAGCTCTTTATCTACAACCCTACAATCACCCCCACGCCCCCTGCCGCAGAGGCTGCCCCTGGTCTCCTGTCCTTGCTCTGGGGCCTGGCCCCTGCTCTCAGCAGGCCACTCAACACAGGAATGTTGGGGCCCAGATAGCATTCCGCAGGCTGCCCCCTGCCATGCCCTTCTCCATCTTCTGTGGGCACGGGGCCAAGCAGCAGGCCTCAGAAGCCAGCCTTCCAGCCCCCACCACCTTTGAATGAGTCTTCTCACCCGTCTAGGTCTCCTCCCCTCCCCAGATTGCACCTGCTCCCAGGTGGGTGAGCGGATCGTGTGGGAGAGGGCTTGGAAGGGGGCACCGTGCACCAGGGTAAGGAATCAACTGAGGCTGGCGCCCAGTGGGCAGCGCCCTCCCCCAACTCCTGCCACAGGACCACCCGGCCCCGGCCCAGAGTCTGCCCAGCTGAGCCCATTTCTTTAGCCTTCACTGTCCTGGGGGCACCACGCCCACCTGTTTCCTGGCAGGTGTCTGCAGCCCCCCTTCCTGCCACCAATCCAGACACACCCACTTCCTGGGACCCCGGAGGCGCCACACATGCAAGCAGGCACCCCCAGCACTCATGGCACTCTGTGTGGGGGGGTGGAGGTTGCAGGGAACGGATGTGCTCCCTGTTGTTTCTAAACGACCAACAGGCAGCTAACTGGAGCTCAGGAGAGTCTCGTTCTAGAGTTCTAGAGCCAGTGCTGGCCCCCAGAGCAGGGGAGACCCCACTCCCAGCTCTTGGATTCTGCTCCCTGCTGAAATTTTCCATTTGGCTCTGCCTCCATCTGGGCGGAGGGTTCCAGCCCCTTCTTCTCCAGACCCAGGGTCTTTGCCTGGTGCTCTCGGGGAGAGCCGGGGTCATCTGGGCCTTGGCCCATCCCTTTAGTCAACCTTATCAGCTCAGGGAGCAGGGAGGGCTCAATGGGGGCACAATTCTGTTGATAATCTAGTCTTTCTTCTGAGACATGGGGTCTTCCCCATTTCATGAGCCCCGCTGGTCCTGGAAGACCTCAGCTTTAACAAAGAGGGGGGGCTTACATGTGGAATGCTTCTCCCCCAGCGTGTGGCAGGGGCCGGGCCACCTCTCCCAGGTGCTCGCTCACTGACCCCCACCACGGCCCTGCGACAGAGAAGGGACTCTGAGCTCCTCTGGTCAAGCTCCCACCCGGCCCACATCAGGAGAGGCTAAGCGGCTTGCTCAAGGTCACAGCTACAGGCTGGGTGTACACCCTAAACCTGATGAGAGCTTCTTGTCACTGTCCAGCTCCAGGATGGTGTCCCGGAAGGCTGTGGTGGTTCTGCTGCTGGTGCATGTGGCTGCCATGCTGGCCTCCCAGACAGAAGCCTTCGTTCCCATCTTCACCCACAGTGAGCTCCAGAAGATTCGGGTAGGAACCCCCACCCCCCGGCTGCCTGCCTCGCCCGTGTGGCCCAACTGACACAGAGCCCTGCTCAGCACTCGGGTGGCCTTCGTCTCTCTAAGGCACAAGTGTCCCTTTGGTGAACCCATGTTTAATCAGCTATGCCAGCCCCACTGAGGACAGCATGAAGGACCGGGACCCAAGCTAACCTGACTCCAGGTGTCTCCCTGCCACCTTCACTCCTCCCTAACACCACTCAAAGGTGCCTTTTCCCACCCCTGCCCGTCCTTCAGAGGAAATTTTCAATTAACAAGCCAATAAATATTTGCTGAGCATCTCTGCAGTACAAAGGGCCACCCTGGGTGAGAGGCCAGCCATACAAGGAGATCTAAGAACCTCCACCTCCAAGGAGCAGGCTCAGGAGCCAAGATACAAACACATGAAAAATTCACTAACAATAGAAAACAAGGGAGATGTCAGAGGCAGGACATGATTAATTGCCCAGCAAGTGACGCTGATGGTTAAGTGCGAAGTTCAGAGGAGGGAAAGGTCTCCGAAGGCTGGCGCATGTCGGCAGCCGACAGGGAAAAGATGAGAGCAGAGCTGGGGGTCTTCAGAGAGAAGTAGGGGAACTCGGTGGGCCCAGAGTGGGAAAGAAGATGCTGCCCCATGGAGTGCTGGCCAGAGCCGCCGCCTCTTGAGAACCCAGAAGAGAGCCAGTCAGGCTTAACAGAACTCGGGAGGCGGGGTCTCCAGAAAAGTGGACTGCCAGACCTGGTTCCCGTGCCTTCTACTTGAGATGTCAGGGGGTTCTGAGTATCTTGTGCAGATAGTTGTTTCTCTCTAACCTGAGGTGATGAAGAGACGGGACTTTAGTGTCCCACCTGAGACCAAGGCTCCACTAGGGACAAATCCACCAGGAATCAGTTCTCTGGGAGGTCGTGTGGCCTCTGGACCTACATGCTCTGTCTGGGGCAGACTGCCACAGACCCAGTGAGCAGTGTCCTCTGCAGAGGCAAGGCTGGCCCCAGCCACCCTTCATGGAAATGAGGAGGGGATGAGGCAGGCTCCCTAAACGCACTTCCTCCACCACCAGCTTCCTCCCCAGAGGAGAGAGCCCATTGTTCTAGAATCACCATGTCTCAGGCAAGGCCCGGAGCTGAATCCCAAGGGTGCCATTAGAGAAACCAAAGGAATGAGGTGCATCTGATCTCAGTGCCCTGGGACCCGGCAAGCAGGACACCACGTAAGATTTGGGGCAGAAATAGTCAAACTCAGTAGAACATAAACTAGCAAAATGGCAACCAGAGGACACTTTGCATTAATCCACTCGGTGGTTTTGCTCCTCATAATTGCCAGGCACCGGGATTTTTATGAAGAAGCTGCAATCTCCTTCCTCCATAATTCATCTCCCTGTCTCGCCTCTTAATAAATCACCTCCCAGGGACTCCAGTTTCTGGGCCACCCTATGGTGCCCTCGCAGGCTAGGCTGTCTTGCCACCCTTTTTATAGGCTCTCTGCTAAGGAAAACACATTTTCGCACTTAATATGCATGAAGGGCAGCCATTATTTTCAGCATTTTAACTTAATTAACAGTAGTAACCTGGGTGCGGTGTTGGAACGACAAAGGACTGGATTCTTCTGCAAGCTAACCTGTTGGTGGACAACGTGGAAGCCTTTTGTGGCCGTCGCACTTCCGGGACTCCTCGTTGTAGAGGGGCCAGGGGAGAAGGAATTCTTTCAGCCTGTGGGAAGCTCAGGCCGCTTAGCACCCTGGACAGAGACAGGCAAGTGCCATCTGGGCAGCTGAGAAACCGGGGTTTTGTTCGATTTTGTGCTCTGCCCTTAGGAAAAGGAGCGCAACAGAGGTCAAAAGAAGTCCCTGGTTTTACAAAAGAGGTCTGAGGAAGTGGGGCCTCTGGACCCTTTGGAGCCCGCAGAGGAAGACGAAAACCAAGTTATCAAGGTGAGCAGACAGGGTGACAATACAGATAAACCTAGTCGGGGGGCGGGGAGTGGCTCCCCCGGCCAGCCACAGATTGTGCTAGGATACAGCAGCGAACCAGATATTCAGGCAACAAGCCCCATCCTAGGAGAAAGGGAGACAGACACCAACAATGAGACAATAAACCATTTCAGGCACCACATAAGGAGGGAGGATAGAGAATGATGGGGGAGGGGTGCTTGGGGGCACTGCTTTGGCTGGAGGAGGGCTCAGGGAAGGCCTCTCAGAGGAGGCGACATTTATTTGATTTGAAACCAGAATGATGAGAAGGAGCCTCTCATGCAAAGAGCTAGAGTGAGAACATTCCAGAAGGAAAAGTAAGTGCAAAGGCCTTGCTCAGGAAGCACATGGTATGTGTGAGGCCCTCAAGGCCAGGGCGTGCCAGGAGAGGACAGGAGGTCAGCAGGGCCTGGTGGTCTAGGCAAGACGTCTAGAAGGTCACTGGGGGTTCAAAGCAGGGAAGTGACCTGATCCGACTTAGGAAGATCTGGAGCAGCTCAAGTGGAGGCAGGAGACCAGTCTGGAGGCAGCTGCAGTCTCAGGGGACAGGTGATGAGGGTGCCGGTTCTTCCCCCTAGCAAGGAACCTGGGAGACAAGCACAGTGTCAAAACCCCCAGGTCAATGCTGGGTTAAGATGCACAGACTGTCGTGGCGGGAGCCCACCTTGAGTTTGTCCAGGGCAGCTCTTTAATTTCACAGACTCATTTTTCCAGGCAGTAAGTACTTACTGAGCCCTAAGTGTGAAGCACGGTGCTGGGCCCTGGGGATAGAGTGGTGAACAAAACAGATAAATCCTCTGAGCTCTTGGAGCTCACACTCCAGCAGGGGGCCAGTAATGAGATACCAGAAGGACCAGCAACGACTACAAATAGGATATATAAACAACCTTCACAGTGTGGCCAGTAGTGACAGGTGCCATGGAGGAAAATAAGACAGCGAATGGAGATGGATGAGTTGCAATTTAAATAGGGTGGTCAGAGCAGGCTTCATGAGTATTAGCAAGGAGACCTGGAGACAGTGAGGCACTGAACCACAAAGATGTCTGGGGGAAGAGCGTTCCAGGCAGCAGGAGTCATCAGTGCAAAGGCCCTGAGGCAGGAGTAGACCTGGTGCATTCTGGGAACAGTGAGGAGGCTGGAGTGGCTGGGGCAGAGGGAGTCAGAGAGAAAGTGGGAGGTGAGTCCAGACCGTGGACTCTGTAGGCTATTGTTTGGACTCTGCTTTCACTCTGCTGAGATGGAAGCCACTGGGGGCTTTGGAGCAGAGGAGGGACGTGATCAGATTTACATTTTAAAAGAGTGTCCCCAGGGGCGCCTGGGTGGCTCAGTCCGTTAAGCATCTGACTCTTGATCTCAGCTCAGGTCTTGATCTCAGGGTCATGAGTTCAAGCTCCATGTTCAGGCCAGAGGACCGAGAAGGATAGGTTCGCCACTCATGGAGACGGTGAAGCCTCTGGTTGGCTGTAGGATGGCAGGATGAAGGTCAGGAGGTCAGACAGGAACTGTAAACCATAAGACGCCTGGTGGGCGATCAGGTGGAGGTGTTGCCCAGGCGGGCAGATACAGACGACTGGCCTTCAGGAGAGCTTAGGGCTGGAGGCATCCATGTGGGAGGCATCAGCAATTAGCTGGAATTTCAAGCCAGGACCGGGTGAGATCCTGGACGGGGTGGGTGTGGATAGAGAAGAGAGGGGGTCCCGGGACCAAGAGGGGGACATTCCCTGGGTAGGGGAGCAGGGGGGAGGAGACTGATAGGTAGAGAGAGTGAGGGCCTTGCCAGGGTGCTACAGCAGTCAGAGCAACACTGAGCTGGACTCCAGGCCTCCCGCCTCCCGCCTCCCGCTGGACACCTGCCAGGGTTCCTCCCACCCACTCGGGTGGCCACAGCCTGCTGTCCAGAGGCAGGGAGGTCAGTCATGGCCCAGAGAGGGACCTCGGGTTTAGGGGAGGGTGCCTTCCCTTCCCACTCCTTGGGCTCCCCAGGAGGAACTGGGAGTGACTGGTTCAGCTGGCAAAGGGGAGCTCGCCCGGAACTGCCCGCTACCTGCACCCTGGGCAGTGTAAGGCACGTGTTGCAGCCTGTGGAACATCTCAGGGAGGCTGTTCCTTCTCCCTAGAACAGGCTATACGGGTCAGGAGGTCCTTTCCAGATCACTCCCTCCAGCCTCTTCATTTTAAGGCGAGGACACTGATGCGTAGAGAAAGGCATAGCACAGCCAAGGGATGGCGAGGGCGGGGCTGGAGGCCGGAACCCACAGCAACCGGACCCGACCCTCCCAGGGCCCTTCAGGCAGCCCCAGTCCATTTCCTAGCCAGGGAGCCCCTGGGCCTCCTCCATCACAGCTCTCCAGACAGACAGGGAGTCTCGGCTGGCATGTGAACCAAGACCACTGAACCAGGGAGCTCTGGGGGTGAGTGCAAGATCAGTCAGCAACCCCCTACCCCCTGCCGGCTCAGCCACAACAACCTCTCTTGGTGACGAACCTCCGGACGGCTCCTCTGGGGTCTTGTCTGTGTTCCCACAGTACAAGAGAAAGTCTCATCCAGTGGCACAGACCTTGGGAGTCAGGCCCCCTGGGTGTCACACCTTCTCCCTCTACTACTTAGTACCTGTGTGGCTTTGAGCAAGTTACTCTACCTCCTTGTCCTCAGGTTCCTCATCTGCAAAATGGGCACACCACTAGTCTCTACCTCATAGGGTTATTGAGATGCTTCATACACATAAAGCGTTTGGAATGATGCCCCTGCTCTAAGGCTCCAGGTGCCAGCTATCCTTATTCAGGGGAAGGGGGAGGGAGAGTTTCCTGCCACAGGAAAAGCCAGGGCGTTTCCTGCCGACCCCTCCCCTCCTGTCGCAGCTTCCCCACCAGGGGAGGTTGGTTGATTCTCCTCCCAGCAAGTCTCGGGTGACTTCAAGGATCCAGCCCTCTGGCTTGAGTTGGGGGAGGAGCTGCCAGAATTTCCTGGCTGGCCCTGGAAGTCCAGAGGCTCCCGGAGGACTGATCGGGAAGAAGGGGCCGCCGCAGAGCCATGTGGCTCCTGGCAGTCCCTCCTGCCACCTATAAGGCACCCAGGGGTTAATGGCGCTCTCCGTGTCTCTTCCTTCTTGTTAACTCTGCCTTATTTCACAGCTGACTGCTCCTGTGGAAATTGGAATGAAGATGAACTCCAGGCAGCTGGAAAAGTACCGGGCCGCCCTGGAAGGGCTGCTGAGTGAGGTGCTGCTGTCCACCCAGAATGGTAAGGGGAGGCGGGCGCCCCTGCGGCTGGGGCCTGGCCTCATCCACCCCGTTCATATTACAGGAGTGCATCTGGGAGCCGTTTGGGGACAGCGATTTGTTTTGCCGCTTTGCACTTGAGAACATGAAGCTGTCTTCTCGGGAAAGGGTGCCCCCGTCTCTGAGGGGAGCCTCATCACAGAGGCTCTGATAGCTACTGGGGACCACAGAGGCCCAATTCCCCAGCCAGGGGCATCTCAAAGCCCTGCCCCAATGGCTCAGGCCCCCGTCCCGAACACCCTCCTGGCAGAACAGGCCACAGCAACACACCCACCCCTCCCCCTGCTCCAGATACATTCATTCCCTCCCCAAAACACCACAAGGGCTGGGTGGTTCCTCTGAAGGGAACTCTGGAAACTTCTGGCCCCAAAAGTCTGCATTTTCTTCATCTGTTCTACAAATCCAAGTGCGAGCTCCACTTGGCCTTGCCCGGTTCAAGGTCTGCCCAAGTAACTTGTGCAAAGCTAGGACCTGTCTGACAAACAGCCACTAATTACTTCTCATAGTCCCCGGGAGGAGGAGAGAGAGGCAGGGAGGAAGTGTTCCGGTTGGAAGAACCAGAGGTTAAATGACTCGCCCCAGGCTACAGAGAAAGCTAGAGGCAGAGCTTCCAGATGCCTGGCCTACCCTCCCGCTGGGGATGCCCCCGCCTCCCTGGGTCCACAGGCAGGTTTAGAAGTCAGTTTTTTTTTTTTTTTTTAAAGATTTTATTTATTTATTTGACAGAGAGAGACACAGCGAGAGAGGGAACACAAGCAGGGGAAGTGGGAGAGGGAGAAGCAGGCTTCCCGCCGAGCAGGGAGCCTGATGCGGGGCTCCATCCCAGGACCCTGGGATCATGACCTGGGCCGAAGGCAGACGCTTAACGACTGAGCCACCCAGGCGCCCCAATAAGTCAGTTTCATAAGTGGACCTGCTGATGTTCCTGAGCTGCAAACCCCCTCTGCTTTTCCCCAGCAGATGAGTGACAGCCTGCTCCAGGGAGAAGGTGGAGAAAAACCAGGAGCCCCCCTCCCACCTGCGGAAGGCCCTGAAATCTGCATGCCCCACAGCCGGGCTCCGAAGGAAAATGCTCTCTCCCAGGCAAGCCCCCCTCCAGCAAATAAAGCAGGAAATCTACAGAAACGACTCTTTTTAATATTTTAATCTGCAAAGGTCAAACTCAGGTCATTCCATAAAGGGGGAAAAGAAATAAAGCTCAGAGGGAACTGGCCATAAATGGTGGTACGTACAGGAGCAAAACGTGAGCCTTTAATAAATTCCATGTTCAAATATGAAGTCAGACCCACAGAACTGGAAGATTTGTGCCCCTGAGGAAAGATGGCATTTTCTGCCCAACACACCAGTCAGTATTAGAGCAAGGACTAGAATTCAGGTCTCCTGAACCCCGGTCTACTTTCTGTTTATTGATAAGCTTGAGGTCTAATGGGCCAGAGTTGTAAGACTCCTGCACGCAACCCCTTGCTGAGTGACCTCCAGCTAGCCCTTTCACCTCAATGAGGCTTTGCAAACGCAAGGTGGTAACATGTGCCTTGAGTTGCGGGGGGGAGACAGGCACCAGCAAATCACTATTATTATCATCTTGTGACCACACGCTCCAGCATCCGCAGCAAAATTCCACAGCCAACCCACTTATTTCTGCCTTCTAAACAAAACTCGATGGGAAATTTCATTCTAATTTAATTTTGCATTAATGAATGTTCACGGGGCCTTATAGGAACCATAGCTCCCTCTAGCCATAGGTTACCAGCAATTTGACACGCTGCCCCTTCGGCATTTCCACCCACCCCAACCATTGCGGGAGCTTAGCCACAGATTGTAGTTAGCGGAATAAGACGAGCCCAACCCTTAGAAAGGACGGTCCTTTGGGGTGCTCTGAGTGCTCCTGAGGGACACCCAAACCTTCCATGGGACCCAAACCCTTCATGCCGCAGTCACACAATTTCCCATGCACGTATTGATCAGCCCAAGCACAGCTGCAGGTCGCTGGGAAATGCTGCCGAGACACCCTGTAATGAATGGAGGGAGGGCTGCACAGCAAGGGAGGAAAAGGAGCAAGAAAGGCGGGAAAGTCTACAAAGCATGCATTTGGGAAGAACTGGATCCAGGAGCCCTCCTCGCCCTTCGGAGCTCCGCCGTGCCATTCACGCCATTCCCCAGAACCTACTCCAAAAAGCAGACAAGCAAAATGCTCACGGTCTCTTTCTAGGCAGAAAACACAGCTTTTGTGTCTTTTCCTCACTCTCTGCGCAGATCTGTCGCTACGGTGAGACTACCTTCCCCCATCACCAGAGGGGGGCGCTCACCTTCCCCCACCAAGGTCCCAGACTCCCCACACCCCACCCCATGCCCACCACCCCGCGGGAGAATTTTTCTTAAGATCCTGGGGTTAGAGAGCAGCACTGAAATAGGTACCAAGAAGGAAATGAGACCCCTAGGTGACTGTGCCCCAGGCGGTCTGCATTTCTGAAAAGGGGAATTGGTTCCGTAGCCACAGCACCTAGGTGGCACGAGGGTGCTGTTCGTTCTGCAGAACAGCCCTGTTCAAAGCTCAGTGCTGTGCCCGGTTGTCCCTGACCCTCACTCAGTGGCCTCTGATGTGCTTCTCAGTAATGAGCCGCAACAGGGACCCAGCGGCCACCTGCATCTGTATGCAGTGCCCCAGCCGCCTGGTTAGATGTGTCGGCTCCTTTCTTCTCTCCTTTTCCTCCTTCTGCTGCTGTTCAATTTCTCACCATCGGCTCAAATAATTCTTTTTCTCCAACGAGTTTCTCCAGTTTCCAGGACAGCAGACTCAATTGCTTCTTACAAGACATGCAGAGCCCTGGAAGAAATTAAAACTGGGGGTGGTGGGGGGGAATAGTGTGAGCTGAGCGGAGACAAAAATGACCATATTTTCACAAAAGAGAAGGAAAGAGAGATCCACTCTTGGTTAAAGGTATACACGGCCAGGACCAGGACCCAGCCAGGATCGGAGAGGGGAAAGTGCTCGGAGGAACCAGTCAGATGAGGACAGCGAATCTTCCTCACATCTTACTGAGGTTTATCCAGCGAAATCGGCAAGAATCTCCCCAGAAAACTGGCAATTATAGAGAGTTACAGATTACCCCTCTTCGTTTGGAACGTACTTTATACTTAACAGGACCGCGGTAATTATTGGGCAACCTGAACCTCGCTTCACAAGATGGAGATGATGAGGTATTTTCTCGGTAACCACATCGGTATGATTTTATAATTACCGAGCTACGTGAATTTGCCATGAAATTGAATAGTTAAAAGCAAAGAGTAATTGCCTGATATCTGTACTCTATAATTTAGTATAATCTAATCATGGACAGAGCCCAAAAGAAAATGTTCTGAAAGCATTACATTTTTCTTCATACACAATTCATTATTGACATCAGGGAATTTATTCCGTGCCTCTAAAGGAACTCTTACCCACAGATATCAAAGTGTGGCCAAAAGAATGAGAGTTTTGTTACACTTTCAGCCGATTGTGAAAAGCAGCCAATCTAACTGCCCATTATACCTGTTCTGGCATTTCTCTGTGACTCTATTTGCCCCCTCATTGACCTGGAGGGATGAAAGGTAGCTCTCCTCTTCCCCGGTGCACTGAGATAAGCCAGCCAGAAGCTGGGCCGTGCTAGGACCATTCCAGTCAAAACCTGAGCCTAGATGGCAACCACTTTGTCCCCCACTTTTCAACCACACTCTCCCAGCGCCCCACCATCCCACAGCATGACAGCACCCACGATGCGGTTCCAAGGAAGCCCAGAGAAATGCACAAGGCTGGCGAGGGGGTGGATCAAGGAGGAGGCCGCAGTCCCCCAGCATCTCTAAGGACCGGATAAATGTGTGCCGGGCTTTTTACAGGAGGAGAAGGAGAATGGAACCCACTAAAAGATTTATGGTTGTTGTTATTATAAGGCTCTGCTGAGACAGAGGTCGGCAGGATGGCAGGCAGCGTGGCAGCCCTCTGGGAATCCAGAGCCTCCTCCTAGAGGCCCCTCACCTCTGCTAAATGTGTGGATGTGGTTACTAAGTAGATTTGGACACTGGAGCTTGTTTTTCCTCTTCTGCCTTTAATAAATCAGCAAGACCGCCCGCAGCCTGAGCTGCTCACCTTAAAAAAAAAAAAACCACAAGAAAGTGAGGAGAAAGGCGGGGGGCAGGCAGGGCAGCCACTGACTTTGCAACATTGCCCTTCGCTTTAAAATATGTTCCCATACTGGACACAGGAGGCAAACTCTGAGAATGCACGAAGGAGCCTCAGGGACAGCTCCCAGCATGAGGCAGTGGCTCAGAGGGGCCCCAGGGCTGAGCCTGCGGTGGGGAAGACACAAGGGGCAGGGAAGAAAGCGGGGGTGGGGGGGATGGGGGGATGGGGGGTGGGGGGGTGGGGGGGTGGTGCTCATGCGGAAGGAACAGGAGCAGCAACAAGCAGGTAAAGGTGTTGGCGGACAGTGTGGATGGAGGGCCTTGGAGGGGTTATCAATCCACCTAAGGGGCACGACTAGAACAGACTGGAACAGGGAGCTCCGGAGGAAAATGCAAAGGCCCCAGACCTGAGAGGGACAATTGACTTGTAAGGGCTTTCCTGATTGACTTTTCTCAATCCGATGGGGAGGCTTCTTCCCCAGGGGAGCAGGCGTCACGGGGGAGCACTGATTGGCAAACACGCTTCGAGGTGTGGCGCATGAGCCCAAAGAACCGCTGGACCCAGCAAGACAAATCCAGCCACTGCTAGAAGCCCCGTGGAGGCACAGGGTGGACCACAGGGGGGCAGAAAGCCACAGCTGCCAACATGATGGGTTCCAGGCTAGAGGGAAGACAACAGGCTTGGCGGGTGGGGCTCACTGGGCCCTAGGTAGGTGTAGCAGCACCAGCAGCCCCAAACACAAGGCAGGCTGACAAAGCCCACGCTGGGGACCACTGCGGGGGGGCGGCTCCAGTTCAGGACATATTTTTAAATCGCCCTGGGATCCATTGTGATGAAACAGACCGTAACTCTGCGACATGCCAGAACGTTCACTTTGTTTAAGCGTCAGATTCAAGCCCTCTTAGAATACACGGGGCCAGTATTGATGCCGAAAGGCTCATTCCTTATATATTGAACTGCACAGCTGCAAGGAGTTGCACAAATGTTACCAACTCATTTGTCATGCAAACAGTGCTTCAGAAAGAAATAAAATACTATTATGTGGTATATGTGTTAGGCAATCACTATATCAAATTCATGGCATTCCGTGCAAACACAGGCAGAGAAAAGGAAAACAACACTTGGTGAGAAAAATTGCACCACATGGAGAACAGCTAAGCTGGGGGATATGGGGAGGCTAACAATGGAAGCCTGACTGAGCCAAGGCTGTCATTTTCCCAGCAATTGCGGCCGGTATAGGAATACTCCGGTTGTACAGCAAGTGGCAAGGATGCAAACCACGGGCAGAGGGGCCTTGCCCACGACCCAGGGAAGGAATAGGGGCAGGCGAGGTGGGGGCTGGGCGGTGGGCAGGGACGGGGAGAACTGAATTAGAGGAGTAGCAGTGGTATAGAGCCTAAGAGGCCCAGGGCGGCCATAAGTGTTTGGGACAGGGAGTTGAAGAAGGATGTGGAAGGCTTACAAAGAGGGGAGGCGGAAGGGAGACTGAGCCATTTGCCACCACTCCCCATGCTTCCCTCGGGGGCTTCTCAGCTAAGAGCCTTCCTATAATCAAATAGGGTGCCCTACGGGAGGTTCTACCTGCCGCTGTGGAGAGAGGGGTTAAGTATAAACACTTAGGAACGTGTACCAGGCACTGTTTTGATCCCCTTATACAAATTACCTGTTTTAATCCTCATAGCCACCTTACCAACCGTACTGGCCAGCAGGCTAGAAACGATAATTGGATATGATCACACATCTGAGAGTGGCGCCGTTGGGATTTGGGAGTCGCCAACCTAAATCCGCAAGCGACATAAGACTGTGTCTCGGGGGTCTTCCCCTACCCATCTCTCGTGAAAAATCCCACCATCCAGACCTTTGGGCTCCTCCCAGAAGCCTGTACTGCCCACTCAAGCCCAAGGGCACTTGGCTCTTCTGCCCCCTCGATGGAAGCGGCATCAGCCTGGGGCACGGCCTACATCCCCTCCGAGCTCCAACTCAGAGTGAACTCCTAGGAAAACACAGAGGGCTGCCGCCCTCGACCCGAAGTCGGACGGGGTCTCAGAACATGCCCGGCGTCTAGCCCACGTCCCAAACAGAGCCCCACCCCAAGCACAGACAGAGGCACAGGATCCCATCTCCCCCTTCTCCGAAATGGCTTGTCTTTCACCGTTAAGCAATTCATCCATTAAATCAACACTTTACTGAATGCCTACCACGTGCCAGCGACCGCGCATGGGGCGGAATATTCGGGAAAGAAACACCGATGGTCTTACGGACGAGACGGACTGAGCAAAGAG